GGAGTATACTTGTCGAGGAGGGTGACCCTGGAGAGTGTGGGGGACAATATTGATTGCAACCTCTCACGAGGCTTCATCGTCCTCAGCTGACAATAACATACTAGCATAATACGTTACAGTGGGAGAATGACGAGGATTAATGCCTCGTGGTAATGTACTGCGATCCCTTGAATCAATGACCAGGGTCTAACGTATTGGCTCTGTAAAAACGTGGCCATTACTCTGATGGAGGGTTTAAATGAAGATTTACGTCTGTAACAGTAATATTACAGATGCAGCACGGAGGCGTGCAGTTTGGAAAACGAGGGATGTATCATGATAGTGACATATAGTTAGTAATATTACAGATATATCACAGTGACATGCAGTCAGTAATCTTAAATATATTTCTCAGTGACATGTAACCAGTGATATTGAATATATATCATAGTAACATGTTAGAAATGTTACAGATGTATCACAATAAAATATAAAAGGAACATTTCTGGTATAATAATTACAGAGACGTGGCGCCAGTAATGTTACAGATATAATACGCTAACGGAAATAGTACAGATATATCGATATCACAGAGTGAGTGAGTGAGTATAGTTAGTTATACGCCGCACTCAGCAATAGTCCAGCTATATGGCGGCGGTCTGTAAATAATAGAGTCTGGTCCAGACAATCCAGGGATCAACAGCATGAGCATCGATCTGCGCAATTGGGATACGATGACATGTGTCAGCCAAGTCAGCGAGCCTGACCACCCGATTGGACATGGATCCAATCATATAACAGATCTGTGACAGAGACATTGAGCAGTAACATTACAGATACATCACAGAGACATAGAGCCATTAGTATTACAGATATATCACACTTATACTTAATCAGTAATGTTACAGATCTACCACAGAGACACGGAGCCAGTTATATTGCAGATATATCACAGAGACATGGAGCCAGTAATATTACAGATATATCACAGAGACATGGGGCCAGTAATATTACAGATACATCACAGAGACATGGAGCCAGTAATATTACAGATACATCACAGAGACATGGAGCCAGTATTATTACAGATATATCAAAGAGACATGGAGCCAGTATTATTACAGATCTACCACAGAGACATGGAGCCAGTAATATTACAGATACATCACAGAGACATGGAGCCAGTATTATTACAGATCTACCACAGAGACACGGAGCCAGTAACATTACATATACATCACAGAGACATGGAGCCAGTAATATTACAGATATATCACAGAGACATGGAGCCAGTAATATTACAGATATATCACAGAGACATGGAGCCAGTAATATTACAGATACATCACAGAGACATGGAGCCAGTATTATTACAGATATATCACAGAGACATGGAGCCAGTATTATTACAGATCTACCACAGAGACATGGAGCCAGTATTATTACAGATACATCACAGAGACATGGAGCCAGTAATATTACAGATATATCACAGAGACATGGAGCCAGTAATATTACAGATATATCACAGAGACATGGAGCCAGTAATATTACAGATACATCACAGAGACATGGAGCCAGTATTATTACAGATATATCACAGAGACATGGAGCCAGTATTATTACAGATCTACCACAGAGACATGGAGCCAGTAATATTACAGATACATCACAGAGACAGCCAGTAGTATTGCAGATATATCACAGAGACATGGAGCCAGTAGTATTGCAGATATATCACAAATACATGGAGCCAGTAATATTACAGATATATCACAGAGACATGGAGCCAGTAATATTACAGATGCATCACAGAGACATGGAGCCAGTAATATTACCGATATGTGGGATTATGGAATCTCAGATCTTGGGCAGATAAAAGGCCCTTCCGTACGCTGTATTAATTAACGATCGTACATTGCTCCAGTGTGCACGCTGTCTGGTCGATGTGAAGAGTCAATACCAAAGTGACAGGGGTCTTCACGCCATAACTCCTGAATGACTGAGATTAATTATTTCTCAACGACATGCATTTTGTCACGATATATCTCGACAGTCTGCTCTCGATAGAATAAACGATATGTATACACAATCGATTCTGCCACTGCTTGTCTGCACGTTCCAGCATCAACGATACTGTTTACTGGCCCAACCAGAATATCTTTAGATGCTTGATTGGTAGTTTAGAAGATGCTATTTGATGAACATAAGGAATTTTCTGGATTACATCTTCTTTTTATTCTTTGATACAACGTTACTTGAAGATACTCTGATGACGTTACTGTTCATTGTTTTACTTGAAGATGGGACCGGAACAGGCCCCGAAAAGTTGTATCAAAGAATAAAAAGATGTAATCCAGAAAATGTTTTATGTTCAACAGAATATTTTTGGTGCAGTTATTGAATATTTGGATTGAGATCACTTGTTGATTGCAAGAAAGGTTTATTTTGAATGAATTTTCAAGCAATTGTGCACCAGTTACGAAGTAGTCAGCCATACATATATACTGGCATATTTTCTACTTCATCACAAAATAGCCGTGTGTTCTTCCGTTCACCAGCACCTTCCTGACTAAAGCTGAGTTCCATAAACTTAATGAAATTAATATATTTTCATAAAATTAGAATTATATGAAAAAGATTTATTGCAATTGGAAAGGTGTTTCAGTGAAATGGGAGATGCAGACATTTAGATTTGCCTTCCTCAGTATTATAACGTTACAGTAAGGGCTGGGGGCGGTGGGGTAGCCTAGTGGTTAAAGCCTCCGCTCGTCACTCCGAAGACCCGGGTTCGATCCCCCACATGGGTACAATGTGTGCAGCCCATTTCTGGTGTCCCCCGCCGTGATATTGCTGGAATATTGCTAAAAGCGGCGTAAAAATAAACTCACTCACTACAGTAAGGGCTGGAGAAGGGTTTATGGGGCGGGTTGCCTTACCTTCTATGGCGCGGTTATGAGTACAGGGAATAGTGATTTGTTTGTTTCTTATCGCCAGACTGACAATCATTTCAGGTTCATGACGACGGTCTGCATATAATCGATTTTCGACCTGACAATTCAGTGATTGATACTGTGAACAAGTACCCGCTGGTCGTTACACGTTATCAATCACGCCGTCAAGCCAGATCCCCCGTTAGATTTAGTTGCCTCTTGAGACTTGCATGTGGCTGAGAAGCAAGTCTAACCTTGGTCTGCACAGTCCTATGGGATAGAAACAATGCCATTTAGAACTATGACCTTGCTAGGTTCTCCTGAAGGCGTCTTCCGACGTGAATACTGTCTGCTGAGTACCATGCATGTGATAATCAATCACAGAGTCAAAAGGCGCAACGCTTGTCTTTATTTAGTCAGACACGTTTTGCAAAGACATCCTGATTTAATGATGACCGTTTATCAAATATGTCATTACTGATTATTTCCACAGATATTCTTTCGAAGCAGGAAAAGTCATTATCCCAAATTCAATGAAATCCAGTTAGAATGGTATCGCCTGCTTCATCTGCATCCTGAAGGCGATCGATATCGCCGAGGACGCGTCCACAGTTGAAAGGAACTGTTCACTCGATTCAAGTGAACGCTACTTCTATAAATCTCGATTTGAGCACGGCATGGGGCAGCTCCGATAGCATGCATACTCACTGAAAGGCAGATAGCGTGAATAATTCACCCATTGACGGTCGCTAGGGGGCGCCACAAGCACCGTTTGGTAGCTGTATGTCATCTTTGAGCACGCGCGACCAGACTTGCTTCGGTTCTCTACATGACTGTTATTACTTATATAGGCTGACCCGCGTCGCTTGTGGACTTCCGTTGTTTTTCCTTAAATTCATATTCCCGATGTTCATTTATCAACTTGTCCTGAAGAAAGTTGTGTTTATTTAAGTGCAGCAAATCTTTCCAGAGCTGTTCCCGGCCAATAGAAGTATTTTATGGCGTTTATTTGTGTATGGACTGATTCGTCTTAACATGTATCTGTAGACGATCAAAAGTCCTGAAACTATACTATAGTTTAGACTCACTTAAAGCAGTCACTATATGTTATGTATAAACATATGGTTACATCGAAGATGAATTTCTCCACTAACTTGGGGGAACCAACTGCAGACCTGCAGATGAATTGCACGTGGATCATGCATCAAATTGCTGAAAAGCATGTGCAAATATCGTGCATGTGAACAGCTGCGTTTTGGTGTAAAGTTTTGTTAAGAATTCGCCAATTTTCACTGAGTGTCATCATGTATTGAACTCATGAAAATCGATTTTTCAACGCTACGAATTTGTTTTACAATGCGTCAGTTCATGTGTAAACAGTACCTATAAACAGTATGGCATATTTTGTCAAATCTAGTTTAGAACAGTGACTGAAGTAAGTGGCTACATTTACACTAGTGAGTCTAAACTTTTGATGGGTAGTATACAGGAATTCTGATTCGAGTTGCATAGAATCGATAGTATACACGCTTGAATGGAATAATTTCAGTATTATCCACTCGTACTCATTAAGTGCAGTGAAAAGTAATGCTCTACATGGGACAACGTACGTCAACTCCGTTACACTTCACGTCAACGAAACCGTTCGTATTACCTATGTCTACTAAACTCAAAATACACTATACACCTGAAAAATGGGTTGACATTTTCGAAACGTTACTAGGCCCAAATATTCGTCGCAACGAAAGATTTAACACGTATCTATGAAACCTGCATGCAATATATTACCATCGATTAACATTCCTTTCTCGTTTAAACCTTTATTGCTGCCATGAATCATTATGGCTATATTCGTTCCTTAGCATAGTAATGTATATTGCTGCCATGAATCATTATGGCTATATTCGTTCCTTAGCATGGTAATTTATATTGCGTCTCCCATGACCCATGTATTCCTCATTAGAACGTGTTCTTCTTATGAAACTTAGTCTCGATATGGCTGAAATATTGCCGATTTGACTTTAACTCACTCACTCACTCACTCACTCACTCTTCTTATGAAACGTGTGAACTGTATTTCCCTTGAAGCTTGTTGGTTATCAATCAAAATATAAGATAGCGACCGAAGGACGTGGGTTGTTGTGTCTAAAGTAAACTACGTTTGTAACCAACTGACGTGTATAACGAATTGATTCTTTCCGCTCACCACTTGCTGTATATTTTATTCGAAATGCGTATAACGAACAACGCTTGTGACGAAATAAAATTTGCGTTCCCTTTCGTTTTTCCCGTTGTTTACTGCACATACAGACCTACCGGCTCATTTCACAAGTAAAGAATAAGTCGTCACTTTCAAAACATGTCATTGTTATGTTCCAACAATAGTGAAGAAAGAGATAAAATAGACAGATGTGCTTCGAAATTGTTTTAAAAATACCCCCAAACCCCAGACATATTGATTGTGAAATAAATATTTGATGGACTATTTTGTTAATTACTATAGTCGCCACACTCCTGCCATTCGATCCAGAGACTGGGATGTACTGGGATCTAGAGACATTGTAGGTTAATGTATTGTGCGTGTGTGTGTGTGAAGCAAAACCAGTTTTGTATAATACTTGATGGAGGTGATCAATCGGATAGTGGATGCTGAAATTCAGTTCCAGCCACGTCGTCCATTGTGGCATGTTTGAGGTTCGCTGCAGCAACTCAGAATTCATAGACTAACACGTCGTCCCTGAATATATATACTTTTGAAAGTAGCACATAACTTCTTTGATGGGCAGTTTAGTAGCACATAAACCCATTTAAATTGAAAAGGAGCCCCAGTGAGTTGGGAGACTTGCTTCATTTAGTGATTTAGCATTACAGGGAGGGCTAGGCTGTAGAGAAAATAATGTGATTCAGGGACTTGAGACAGACTACAGATTTCACTGCCTCTTTATTTCTAATGTTTTTGTCAGTGTGTACAACCCCCGACTACTTCATTCAGTTCGTAAATAGCTTCTTTAATGTAAGATACGTTTGTTTTGAGCCTACACAGAACAACCTCCCTGAAACCACGCCAATCCAAGGGGAGCCACTTGTAAGAACGATCTTTGCTTGAAACAGACCAAGCGTCTTTTATACAGATAACATACAACAGGAACACATCTTTGTGTCGTCGAGATATGAAGCTTGTTTCACTTTGCTCTGTTTTCTGTCAACAATGATGGAGTGTAATGATGTGATCAGTGAGTGGGGGAGGGTGGAATGGGCGTGCTTCTAGGGTTATCGGATTGCTCCTACACGAGGCTGGAAGAGAGAAAGGGTTATCAGTGTTACTGGATTCATCTCGTGGAGGAAGGAAAGAACGTATATCACAGTCCCTCCAAACAACGGTTACATCCGGAATAGCTCCAACGCTTTGTCTAGCTGAACTGGAAAGGTCAACTTGATAAGGCGGTGTTTGTGGCAGCAAAGACATCTGATATGTCATTTGTATAATGCGAAATAAACTTATTCAAGTACATGTAGTCGAATTCACATATCGGGAGGCAAGAGTTCCGTTGGTGTAGGATGTCACTGTCTGTGTGAGACAGGGTGTGGTCAGAGATCTGTGGGTGGATCATGTCACTGCGTAAGTGAGTGAGGATGTGGTCAGGGTGTAACAGTACGTTGAGAGAGAGAAAGAGAGTGAAAGAGGGAGAGAGCGAGTGAGAGAGAGAAAGAGAGGGGGAGGGAAAGTGAGAGAGAGTGAGGGATGGAGAGAGTGGGGGCAGGGAAAGAGAGAGGGGAGGGATGGAGGTAGAGAGAGAAAGAGAGAGTGAGGGATGGAGAGAGAGAGGGGAGGGAGGGACGGATAGAGAGAGAGAAAGAGAGAGTGAGGGATGGAGAGAGAGAGGGGAGGGAGGGAAGGAGAGAGAGAGAGAAAGAGAGAGTGAGGGATGGAGAGAGAGGGAGAGGGATGGAGGGAGAGAGCGAGAGGATAGGGAGAGAGGCAGCCCCACTTCTGTGTGTATTTTTTCCCATAATATTATATATATATATGTTATAGCCTCTCGGAGTTAAAACGCCCCATTCTGCTGTGGCCACTTCTCTGGCGTGTGGTTACAATGCACACTGGTCACCGTGGTACAACCTCTTAAATCAGATACACGTCAGAGACCTGTACGTCACACTTGAAACATGTAATGCTCGCGTGTGGGATGAATCTCGCCAAATCTCAGCTTGGGGTTAATTAGTGGACAGTTTGCCATCTCACCCTTATCAAACTTCATCAACATCTCGATTTGGCAACAGCAGCTGTGTACAGCACAACCCAGGTCTCACACATAAAGAACTCATCTAGACTGTACGGATACTCTGGTTACCAGCGATATAACATGTAGGTGCTCTACACTGGGTACCAGAGAGATATGAGGTAGATGCTCATCACTGGGCACCGGGCAAATAACAGGAACATCCACTTTAGATCTAGACTGGGTACAACCCGTACCTCTTTAGGGACATGAGGCACCTGTTTTACAACAGATGAATAGTCGATTATTTGTGCAAGATATATATGTTCTGTCTGAAATAGCCCAGGGAGAGCATGAGGTTTGGGGCACCTGTTTTTCACCATTCTTCCAGTTCACGACCTGTGCTACAGAAAGCGTACTTTGTCGTGCAAGGTCCAATTAGGGTGAGAGGGGTAACTGGTCGACAACAGTTACCAAACGTTGTGACAATCAAAAATTATAACGGAACTGATTTGCATTTACAAACCCATTGCAACTGCTTTTGCGTGTGAACAGTTGCGACCCTTCGTCTGCTAAAAGCCTGCAAGGCCAGTCGGACCAGGGGGCGATTTAAGGAAATAAAACCCACTTTCACCCAGTGCAACCTAAGCAATCATCTTGTTGCACCAAACAAAAACAGGCTGCACCTCCTGCTTTTATGTCGTATATAATGCTTGAGTTTTGGTAAATACGGTTTAGAACCGTGTTATGACAAAAGAAATATGTAGTTATCTTACTTCCTGAATTTTCATGAGCAGTAAGTCCTTCAGTCACTGTTCCTACAATGATCAGAGTCACTGTTCCAAGTCAGTTCCTCATCATTCTGCTTTCCAGTGAACACAAAATATTAACATGCCCTGGGTGCAAGATGATATACATGAGAAGTTGCATTTAGCAGTTTCAGGTTGCACCAGTACAAGTTTTAAATGCTTAAATCGAGCCCTGCAGCCTATGTCATGGATCTGAATTTGTCCCGGTTGTTTCTGACTTTTTCGTCACCACGTCCGCACTCGTGTTTCAGCTAGGTCAAGCTGACACTCCGAGATATAATCTAAATAAATAAAACGCTTGCTTATCAAAGGAATAATTGAACGTCTCAACTCGTGACGGAATTCGAGAATTTGAGACAAGTATCTGCAGAACATATGGCCTGAGCAGTCGCCTCTTGATTTGTAAACACTGCACAAACTGATCTTATCTAAGAGCGTAATGCATCACACACTGTGACATAATGTGAATATAATAACGCAAGAATATGATGGAATATTGAACTATTTCCTCCCACGTGGTTTATGGTAGTGTTGTCACGTACGCAACCAACCAGATGATCAATACCACATGGCTGTAGAACAGGACACGGATCTGGGTGTGACACATCGCAGTTGGACTGAAATAGTTAGGATTATTGATATTCTTTATGAGATATTTTTCGACAAACCCAAAGAACTTAAAAAATGTGGAACGTTGGAATCAACATTCAAAATGGCTGACATACAGTGTTGACGCTTATTGTGGCACCATGGTAATCCTGAGGCACGGATAGTTAGCAGTGTGGGCAGGGTGTTTGTCTTGAACCAGGATGTCAAGTTCGATTCTCAGTTTGTGCTGATGTAGGTGACAGAAAATAGTTGAAGTTATAAGCAGAGTTGTATATGCGGCAAAACGTGTAATATATTTTCAATACTATAATGAACAAACTTTATGGATAACAACTTCTTTATTTCGCGATTGAGCCTTTTCGATACGGATTCTTGTACCATTGTCAAGCAGGAATGAGTTATCCGCCGTCTACATTCTCGCTTGACAACGGTACAAGATTCTGTATGGAAACGTCGCACTCACGAAATTAAGAAGTTGTTATCCATAAAGTTTGTTCATTGTTGTATGTCTCAACTTCTAAAATGACACTGTTGCCATATACACAGTCACATAGCCACTAAACAGCTTGGATGGAGCTGTTACGACTATGGCATATGCAGGTGCGCTGACAGCTTCGTCTCGTTGTACGGAATGCAACAAATATGACCTCAAACAGGTTCAGCTTACCATCGTAAAAGTAATTTGAAGATAGGAAAGAGAAACACAGGATTGATAACGGCTGTGCTGTATATGAAGTATTTTCAACCTTTGATAACTTAGGCAGAATACTGGTCCGAAACTGTGCACATTCACGTATAGACACATGTGCTAAACGCCGAACCACCCAAAATGTCTTCCCGTGTATTTATAAGGTCGTCAGTTCGTCCAGTCGCCTAAGCCCAAGACTTCGTTATAGTTGCGTCCCTTAGGTGCGCCAGTAACCTATGATCGTTGGTTGAACCTGATTTTGTATCTATATTTGTCCCCACCACACATGTACGTTGGTTTCTCATGGACGATTATCATTTAGGCCATGAGACTTCCTTCTACAGCTCCGTGATATAACTATAAATAGTGTTAAAAACGGCATTACAACCAACTCACTCACTCGGTAATGACGTTGCTAACACCCAGAGTTGGTCTACACCAAGCTCCATTGTTATAATGTCATCATGAAAGTTGACAATGTCATTGATGGCGGACTTCATGAAGCCCTTTCTTTGCTTACTATCGTCCTATAACCCTATTATAGCTTACTGTTGCTATCCTTCACTTCTGAATGACGTCATAGAGGTCATACTTGCTGATTGTTACTGTGCGTCATAGAGGTCATACTTGCTGATTGTTACTGTGCGTCATAGAGGTCATACTTGCTGATTGTTACTATGCGTCATAGAGGTCATACTTGCTGATTGTTATGCGTTAGAGGTCATACTTGCTGATTGTTACTATGCGTCATAGAGGTCATACTTGCTGATTGTTACTGTGCGTCATAGAGGTCATACTTGCTGATTGTTACTATGCGTCATAGAGGTCATACTTGCTGATTGTTACTATGCGTCATAGAGGTCATACTTGCTGATTGTTACTGTGCGTCATAGAGGTCATACTTGCTGATTGTTACTGTGCGTCATAGAGGTCATACTTGCTGATTGTTACTGTGCGTCATAGAGGTCATACTTGCTGATTGTTACTGTGCGTCATAGAGGTCACACTTGCTGATTGTTACTGTGCGTCATAGAGGTCACACTTGCTGATTGTTACTGTGCGTCATAGAGGTCACACTTGCTGATTGTTACTGTGCGTCATAGAGGTCATACTTGCTGATTGTTACTGTGCATTATTGCCAACTAACGTCAAGTCTTGTCTTTGCTGATTGTTCGTCTCCACCATTGTTGCACCCTTCACCCTTTGTTAGAATCTAGTGATTTTAGTATATATTGATTAGTGATTTTAGTATTTATTGATGCTTCTATATAGTCTCTGAAATGAACATATTTTACAGAAAAAAGCTCATGGTGAAATAAAAATATAATGAAAAGGAGCCCCGAGACTTTCATCTAGCTGTGGAAATCTAGACTTGCCACATTTTGTAGACTTGCGTGGGATTTCTCTTGGGTATATTTGCTTCAGGGTCTGTATGGCAGACTAGCTTCTATATAACTTAAAATCTTACATCTTTACTTTCAGCTGGAAGTGCCTACGTGAACGTGCAATACATCACGTGACAGTCACGTGCCTGGTATTGCAGCTAACGACAGCGTTCAAGATGTTCCAAGAGCGACTACCCAACGGCAACCGAGTGCCCAACCCGTGCAACCCCGGGGAGGTGTGGGGTGGGGTCGGCCACCTTGTTCCCGGTGGACAAGGGCGTAGAAATCCATTTGGAGAGGATTTTCACAGTGAAGGAAAGGTATGCCAATTGCTTGACGTTTCACATAGACGAGTTTGAACCCAGTTCCTCGCGGAAGGTTAATAACCAGGAGAACAATACAGACATATATATTTAATGCGTCTGCCCTAACTCGACACAAATACCGTGCGCATACCTTTAGCACATGGGGTATGTGGGAGGTGATAGGGTTGCTCTGATCCCATGAGGCTGGTAAACAACCGCTGTTTCATACCAATAACCCGTGCAAGTTAACAACGCGTAGTTATGAATATTATAAGAGGGGCGTAGCTACCATTATGAAAAAAGCCCGGACTTACACATAACTGTTGGTAAAAAGGTTGCGCAAGTCCTCAATACTGTCTACATATAAAGCCTTGCAACCTATCGGGCTTACACGAAAAAAAATTGGCTTGCTACGCGCCTGTATAAGACACAACATTGTTCGTCAAATTAATTTTTAAAAAATTTTACAATAATTTTAGACCTCTTCAGACTCAAAACTACAACCACGTATAAAGGAATATGTGTTTTCGAAACTATTCTGACGTGTTCTAAAGGCTTAGAGAAGTATTTCTTCCAATTGTGGTGTTATTTTCTTTGTATAAATGTTTATAGAAATGTAATTCCTTCTTCGTAATAAAATAGAATCATTTGAAAATAAATATATACTAACCAGTTTTCAAAAATATGTAACCGGAGATTCCCGACAAAAAATATTATTTATGAAGCAGTGAATTATTTCATGTGATGTGGGAGTTTCCATACGTTGAATGATGTGATGCTAAAATTGTCGAATAATTCTTGCAATGTGTCTGGGGTTATGGTAAAAAGATCACCTTCTAGCTCGGGCTCCGAGAATAATAAACAGTTGGCACCTTGGGGATGTGTCAAACAATACGTTCTCTAATGTTCGAAGCAAAGTGATTCTAAAACACTTAAATCATCAGTGACCTAGAGAGACGAAGCCGCCATGGCGTGGACAGCGATCTAAGTGGGACATAACCGTGGTGTATCCACCATTCATGAAAAGGCCATAGCCGAGGACAGATGATTAACCATCATTACCAATGTAATATGACGATGTGTATGTTTTCAGAAATTGACATTGCGAGGCCTCAGATCTTATCAATAATGTTGTTGCATGCTCCTACCTTGGAATGTCTTCCAGTATCACGAGGCCGAACTTACAACTGTAATCTCACGATACATCGTCTCACGATACGACGACTTCGACCCAGTGGGGGACTTAACTGTAGAGGACACCAACCACTTGGAGGACAAAGATCAGATATGTTACAACACTATAGACGACTTCGACCCAGTGGGGGACTTAACTGTAGAGGACACCAACCACTTGGAGGACAAAGATCAGATATGTTACAACACTATAGACGACTTCGACCAAGTGGGGGACTTAACTGTAGAGGACACCAACCACTTGGAGGACAAAGATCAGATATGTTACAACACTGTAGACGACTTCGACCAAGCGGGGGACTTAACTGTAGAGGACACCAACCACTTGGAGGACAAAGATCAGATATGTTACAACACTATAGACGACTTCGACCAAGCGGGGGACTTAACTGTAGAGGACACCAACCACTTGGAGGACAAAGACCAGATATGTTACAACGCTATAGACGACTTCGACAAAGTGGGGGACTTAACTGTAGAGGACACCAACCACTTGGAGGACAAAGATAAGATATGTTACAACGCTATAGACGACTTCGATCAAGTGGGGGACGTATGTAGAGGACACCAACCACTTGGAGGACAAAGATCAGATATGTTGCATCGCGTGCACTATAGAGTACTTCGACCAAGTGGGGGACTTAAATGTAGAGGACACCAACCACTTGGAGGGCAAAGATCAGATATGTTACAACACTGTAGAGGACTTCGACCCAGTGGGGGACGTATGTAGAGGACACCAACCACTTGGAGGACAAAGATCAGAAATGTTGCATCGCGTGCACTGTAGAGGACTTCGACCAAGTGGGGGACTTAACTGTAGAGGACACCAAATACTTGGAGGACACTGATCAGATATGTTACATCACTGTAGAGGACTTCGACCAAGTGGGGAACTTAACTGTGGAGGACACCAACCACTTGGAGGACAAAGATCAGATATGTTACAACACTATAGACGACTTCGACCAAGCGGGGGACTTAACTGTAGAGGACACCAACCACTTGGAGGACAAAGACCAGATATGTTACAACGCTATAGACGACTTCGACAAAGTGGGGGACTTAACTGTAGAGGACACCAACCACTTGGAGGACAAAGATAAGATATGTTACAACGCTATAGACGACTTCGACCAAGTGGGGGACGTATGTAGAGGACACCAACCACTTGGAGGACAAAGATCAGATATGTTGCATCGCGTGCACTATAGAGTACTTCGACCAAGTGGGGGACTTAAATGTAGAGGACACCAACCACTTGGAGGGCAAAGATCAGATATGTTACAACACTGTAGAGGACTTCGACCCAGTGGGGGACGTATGTAGAGGACACCAACCACTTGGAGGACAAAGATCAGAAATGTTGCATCGCGTGCACTGTAGAGGACTTCGACCAAGTGGGGGACTTAACTGTAGAGGACACCAAATACTTGGAGGACACTGATCAGATATGTTACATCACTGTAGAGGACTTCGACCAAGTGGGGAACTTAACTGTGGAGGACACCAACCACTTGGAGGGCAAAGATCAGATATGTTACATCACTGTAGATGACTTCGACCAAGTGGGGGACTTAACTGCAGAGGACACCAACCATTTGGAGAACACAGATCAGGTTACATCACTGCAAAGGACATCTACCAAGTGTGGGACTTAACTGTGGAGGACACCAACCACTTGGAGGGCAAAGATCAGATATGTTACAACACTGTAGAGGACTTCCAATTAGTGGGGGACTTAACTGTAGAGGACAAAGATCAGATATGTTGTATCGCGTGCACTGCAGAGGACTTCAACCAAGTGGGGGACTTAACTGTAGAGGACACCAACCATTTGGAAGACAAAGATCAGATATGTTGCATCGCGTTTTGCACCCAACTGCTAGCACTATGTACTTCTAAAACGTTGTGGGCGGTGGGGTAGCCTAGTAGTTAAAGCGATCGCTTGTCACGCCGAAGGCCCGGGTTCGATTCCCCACATGGGTAAAATGAGTGAAGTCCATTTCTGGTGTCTGGCTACTACAGTGGTACCTGTACGTGGTGTTTGATTGCTGCTACAGTAGTACCTGTATATGTTGTTTGATTGCTACTACAGTGGTACCTGGAGGTGGTGTTTGATTGCTACTACAGTGGTACCTGCAGGTGGTGTTTTAAATCAGCAACCATCTAGCTGTAGCTTTGAGACATCAGTCCGTTATGGCACAAACGTCTTAAGAATTTGGTATATGTGTAGCTACCGTACATAAACGTCAGTTGTACGGGAATTTAGGGCTCGGAACTTGATATGTATGTAGACTCTGCGGTAATAGGTTTGACCTTCAGCTCGTTATTCCATGCTTTCTGACAATTCTGGATAAGTAATTTAAAACGTATTTCTAGTTCATGTAGATGTTTATGTTTGATTCTCTTTGAAAACGTTTAGATTTACTCCAGGAAGTTGTGTATTAAAATAAATTATTACAACACTGTAGAGGACTTCCAATTAGTGGGGGACTTAACTGTAGAGGACACCAAACACTCGGAGGACAAAGATCAGATATGTTGTATCGCGTGCACTGTAGAGGACTTCAACCAAGTGGGGGACTTAACTGTAGAGGACACCAACCATTTGGAAGACAAAGATCAGATATGTTGCATCGCGTGCACTGTAGAGGACTTCGACCAAGTGGGGGACTTAACTGTAGAGGACACCAACCATTTGGAGGACACAGATCAGGTTACATCACTGCAAAGGACATCTACCAAGTGGGGGACTTAACTGTAGAGGACACCAACCACTTGGAAGACAAAGATCAGATATGTTGCATCGCGTGCACTGCAGAGGACTTCGACCAAGTGGGGGACTTAACTGTGGGGGACACCAACCATTTGGAGGACACAGATCAGGTTACATCACTGCAAAGGACATCTACCAAGTGTGGGACTTAAGTGTGGATGACCTCGAACAGGTAGGGGACATCATGGCGGAGGACATCGCCCATGGAAAGACAAAACTGTTGAGGAGGCGGACCCTGGAGGACATGACGTGTAGATGCCACCTTAAACGGAAATATGGGTGCCCACCAAGTGAAGTACATTGCCATAAGTCGAGGGCTCCCACCGTTGATTGAAAATGATGGTGAGAACATAGAGGATTCCCCATCTAGGGAGACAAAGCCACAATGAAGGGGACACCGACCGTCAATAGGACATAGTCGTCGTGAAGACACCCCACACGAAAAGGACATAGCCGAGGACTAAGGACTCTGAGGGTTGTAAATTAGCATACATAAAACCAGAACAAATCTGTGAACCTATTTAAAAACCAAAACTATTTAACTGTGTAACGGCAGACTCCCAGTCTACTGATACAGACAGAATATCTTGATAACGAAACACTCTTATCATTCAAGATTAGGGCGTTGGGGGAAAGAGAGGGAAAGACTAAAGAAATCTGCTACTGAATAACTACGCAGCGTGATTATTTAGGAGGCAGGGCCGATTATGTGAGAACACCATTGGATAAGCTTACTTTCAGTTATTTAAGCACATATGCGATAACGTTCGTAAGGTCTCCAAATATTCCAAATAAAAGAGTTTATAATATGGCTGACATGGCTCCTTGACTAGGTCTTAAAGATTTCATTAATTGCGTTCACCGTGAAATCCGCTTTTTGGGTGAGATTAGCCTTAACTGCTGCAACCATTATCGGCAAGTGATATAACATTCTGGCTGGAGAGACGTGAGTTCCTGATGGGCCTTCCTCCTACAGTATGTGTTCCACAAGGGGCGCCACTTTGGCTATAAGAAGTTGGCTTTAAGAGAAATACAATTTCCACCAGACAACCTATTTTCCTGTACACTTTCACACAAACGTAGTGTATTTGCTTAATGATACGGCATTCAATTACTATTTCTTGCTGTTCACATTTTCCTGGTAAAATCACAAAAAGACCGCCGATATAGCTCGAATATTGCTGAGTACCGCCGTTAAACAAACTAACACAAAGTAGTGGCAGATTCCCCTGTGCAAATTACGTGTAAACGACGTTAAACACAACAATCGCAGTTTTGCACCCAACTGCTAGCACTATGTACTTCTAAAACGTTGTGGGCGGTGGGGTAGCCTAGTAGTTAAAGCGATCGCTTGTCACGCCGAAGGCCCGGGTTCGATTCCCCACATGGGTAAAATGAGTGAAGTCCATTTCTGGTGTCTGGCTACTACAGTGGTACCTGTACGTGGTGTTTGATTGCTGCTACAGTAGTACCTGTATATGTTGTTTGATTGCTACTACAGTGGTACCTGGAGGTGGTGTTTGATTGCTACTACAGTGGTACCTGCAGGTGGTGTTTTAAATCAGCAACCATCTTGCAGCCACATCGTATACGAAAATAGGGAAACCTCCACGCAGAATTCTCAGGGTCACGTGTATCAATAAACCCTGTACCATATCTGTCTGGTGCGATAGCTGTAGCTTTGAGACATCAGTCCGTTATGGCACAAACGTCTTAAGAATTTGGTATATGTGTAGCTACCGTACATAAACGTCAGTTGTACGGGAATTTAGGGCTCGGAACTTGATATGTATGTAGACTCTGCGGTAATAGGTTTGACCTTCAGCTCGTTATTCCATGCTTTCTGACAATTCTGGATAAGTAATTTAAAACGTATTTCTAGTTCATGTAGATGTTTATGTTTGATTCTCTTTGAAAACGTTTAGATTTACTCCAGGAAGTAGTGTATTAAAATAAATAATCCCTGGCCAGATGAGGGTCGGGAAGCGAGGTCAATCTAGATCATCAAGTGATATCACTCCAACTGCTCCTTAAAGTCAATTGTAAACAATTACACAGTATGAGGAGATTTCAGATCTTCTTGTGTGTCAGTGATATTGTGTCACGGGTGGCCCAGTAGTAAAATAGCGGAGGCGCATCCCGTATTTGGATGAGGGTTCAAACCCCGCTACTGATCCTTCGTTATTAGGAGCTGTTTTGTATTTTCGGTTTTAGGTTAGGCATAGTTGAGTATTTTTTTGTAACAAAAACATCAACATCTCATGTTTTCCTGAAAAAATTGACAGATATATTTTATCCTCATTATTTCGAAAAACAACCGTCTCCAGTATATGCTGTTAAAATGTATTGAAATGTCCTGCTTGGAAAAAGGTTCTTACAATTATGACATCCACCAACAGATCATGTGCCCTGTGCATCAACCACCATCCACCCCCAACCCAAAACCCAAACCCTACCACCACCCCACCACCACCCCATCACGCCCGGATCAGACAATCCAGTGACTGACACCATGAACAGCGATTTACACATTTGGGATACGACGACACGCATCAAGCTATCAGCGAGCCTGACTATCCGATGCCGTCAGTCGCCTCTTACGACACGCATCAAGCTATCAGCGAGCCTGACTACCCGATGCCGTCAGTCGCCTCTTACGACATGCATCAAGCTATCAGCGAGCCTGACCACCCGATGCCGTCAGTCGCCTCTTACGACATGCATCAAGCTATCAGCGAGCCTGACTACCCGATGCCGTCAGTCGCCTCTTACGACATGCATCAAGCTACCAGCGAGCCTGACTACCCGATGCCGTCAGTCGCCTCTTACGACATGCATCAAGCTATCAGCGAGCCTGACCACCACAATGCCGTCAGTCGCCTCTTACGACATGCATCAAGCTATCAGCGAGCCTGACTACCCGATGCCGTCAGTCGCCTCTTACGACACGCATCAAGCTATCAGCGAGCCTGACCACCCGATGCCGTCAGTCGCCTCTTACGACATGCATCAAGCTATCAGCGAGCCTGACTACCCGATGCCGTCAGTCGCCTCTTACGACACGCATCAAGCTATCAGCGAGCCTGACCACCCGATGCCGTCAGTCGCCTCTTACGACACGCAGGGTTTGCAGAACTAGTTTTAATTTTTGTGGATCACTGCCCAATGTAACCTTTCTAAAAACGTCCACCTTATAGCGTTCATGACTGCAATACACACTCTGAGGGATCAACCCGTACTTGATGTTATCCTGGCAGTCATGAACAGTGACCCGGATGTGCCAGACAGAAAGACAGAAAGTGGATGTGTGAGAGAGATGGTGAGTCACAATGAAATGATTCCCTACAGGTGATCCTATTGGTACACAGGTCAGCCGCACAGTAATGAACTCAAAGCACCTGTGGTCAGTTTGATGGCCGGCATAATTGCACTGGGTTGCCAAGGGTAACAGACCCAAGGCGGGGAGTAAAAGACCATGCAGCCTTCTAAACGATTCTCATGGCGGCCATCAACTGACGTGTGAGACGCGGCATGAAACTTTGACCTTAACGGAATTCGGAGAAAATGTCGGCTATTCGCTGATACTAGTTTGTTACGCACAACTGTCCCGGTGTAGCCAGATAATGTCGCGTGACACGAAGTTCAATTATTGCTCCAATCGCGGTTATCCCCGTGTTGTCTGATACTGGAGATGTCTCACAGCAAGAAGCACCGGTCTGTCTGATCAGTTGTCGGATAAACCGTTATGAAGCAGGGAACTGGCATAATCGACATGCCGATTGGCGCATTGGCACGAGAGAATTCCCGCCATTTCTTGGAATAAACATCAAGCAATTGAATGACCAACGTGGCCCAACGTCTCAGCCTGGAACTGACTTTGAATACTAATGTTTAGATGTGAGGGGCGCGTTTAGTGTCTCGTCCATACCGTGATGATTTGTGGAGACAGACCCTGACATTATGTCCTTACTGCCTAGCCCTCCTGGCAATGCTGAAACCCTAACTGAACCAAGTCTAGATTTCGTCTGAATCTCCCGTCTCATTGTCAATTTATATGGGATTTTGTTCACTATCAAAAGTATAATTATATTCCGAGACTAAGAGTTAGTCTAATATCGGGAAAGCTCCAAGCAACAAATCTTAAAAATTCTTTCATTGAAGAGACAAATCCCAAGCTGTTAAACACGGTAACGACCTAATACCATACGAGACTACTGTTTGAAGTCATTATATATGTGAACTACTGAATACCAAATGTAATACATTCCTTCTTTACTTATCTCAGCACAAACTTAGATTAAATTAAACACAACAGGTACAGTCCGTTTCATTTCATTTTAGACCGATGAATTGCTCACTAACACAACATCTAATAAATGCAACAAAACAAATTTTGCACAGTCGTTGTTGTTTAACAAACGAGAATTATTTTGTTGTCACTTTTTGCTATTTTTTACGAGGGGGGACCACTCGCTGGTGGAACGGCCACGTGTGCGATTTGCACGTGTGAAATTGAAATTTCACTACACACGCTTGTTGATTACCTGGCTGTTCTACTATCTTATTCGGGTGTCCAAATTTATGAGACAGATCATCAGAGTTGGTCTGTCGATTTCATGTGACTGTGCAAAATTTTGTTTTGTTGCATTTGTTAGATTTTGTGTGAGTGACCAATCCATCGGTCTCAAGTGAAATCAAACGGACTGTAATAGAGGTTTACACGACAGCGTTCAGTAAATAACATTAGCAAGGCAAAAGTACGCGATTAAAAGCTAACAAACAAGCTTAAGGAAACAGGTGTTCAAAATCGGTGATTCATATGATTGTGGTCTGCAATGCCGGATTCGTTATGGCATTTAGTTTGTCTGTTCAAGGTAATGTTAGGGGCGGTGGGATAGCCCAGTGGTTAAGGCGTTCGCTCGTCACGCCGAAGGCCCGGGTTCGTTTCCTTACATGGGTACAATGTGTGAAGTTCATTTCTGGTGTCCCCCTCCGTGATGTTGCTGTAATATTGCTAAAAGCGGCGTACAGCCATACTCACTCACTTACTCACTCACTCTAAGTAACGTTAAACCCGACATACAAGGACCGAATAACCAATGTTACACTCAAAAGTCAAGACTCGATTATTTACAGACCTCCGCCATATAGCTGGAATATTGCTGAATAAACTAAACTCACTCCCTCCCTCTTTTCAATTACACATAAGACACACAACTCTGAGGGTAAAGCGTTCTCTCTGGTTCGACAAACCCCCACACTGAATGGCGACGATCCTTCTTGATACCAGCACTGGGGACTGTCGGTCACTTTATAACGATTGACTCCTCAAGCAGAATGGCTCTGTAGGAGCTGTTGGTTCTTGGCATTTACACGCTCGAGTTCCAGTCATAGGAGGCGGTTGGGTAGCCTAGTGGTTAAAGCGTTCGCTCGTCACGCCGAAGACCCGGGTTCGATTCCCCACATAGGTACAATGTGCGAGTCCCATTTCTGGTGTCCCACGCCGTGATATTGCTGGAATATTGCTAAAAGCGGCGTAAAACCCAACTCACTCACTCACACTGACTGAAGTATACAGTTGTTGCTTGACACGGCCACTGACCCATGTCCTCCACTGCATCCTGCATAAGCACTCTCTCCAGTCACAGACCACTCACACGGTTACGCAAGTCGTCATTACTTTCGTTTCAGAAATGGACACAAGGGTTGTGTCTCATGGATTCTGACGGCGACGGAAGGACGAACGGTGAGGAGCTTGGCGATCCCAACTGTGCGTGGAGTTCCGGGGGACGGCTACAGCGGATAACTAACATCACCCATCCAGGTATGTAAATTATGCACATCCAACATCACGTTTGTGACAGGTATATATACCTCTCATCAAAAGTTTAGACTCATTAGTGTAAACATAGCCACGTACTTCAGGCAACTGTTCTAAACTAAATTTTGCAAAATATTCCATACTGTTTGAAGGTACTGTTTACACATGAACTGATGCATTGTAAAACAAATTCGTAACGTTGCAAAAATTATTTTCATGAGGTCAATCAATGATGACACTCAGTGAAAATTGGCGAATTCTTAACAAACGTTTACACCAAAACGCAGCTGTTCACATGCACGATATTTGCACATGCTTTTCAGCAATTTGATGCATGATCCTCGTGCAATTCATCTGCCTAAAATTTGCAGTTGGTTCCCCCAAGTTAGTGGAGAAATCAATCTTCGATGTAACCATATATATATACATAACATACAGTGGGTTTTTTAAGTGAGTCTAGACTTTTGAAGAGAAGTATACATATTTGTAATTGATATATAGTTTTAAAATGTTTTATTTGTCATGATCATTCCGTATAGTGAAACACGACTATCTGATCAAAAACGTCTCCTGAGTGAATTGTGGGCCGCCTGAAGAACAACTGTCGCTGTTGTCGATTTTCGGCACTTTAAACGTTGTGGATATAGTTGAATTTCCGGGCCTTCCCAAGACAGTGGTGTGAGGCGCATTTCTGGTATCCTTCACCATGATGTTGCTGGAATAGTGCTGAAATCGGCGTAAAACCCAACTCACTCACTCGCATGACAGTGGACAGTCGTCAGTGGAATGCGGTGTCGGGAGTTTGACGTTGTTTGAAGTAGTGGACGTTAGTCGAGTGGATTGCCCGGCGATTGGCGTCTGTTGTGTGTATGTTCGGGGCTGTCAATGTCTGTATTCAAGTGTTGTCGGTCATCCAGAGTCAGTGTGGAGTTGGGGGTGTAGTACGTTGCGGAGAGGTTGCCCTCAGTATGGTCTTCGTTGTGAGCGGTATTTCGTTGCCAGCCAGACGTCTGTCGAACGTCGTCGGTGTAGTCGAATGTGTTCGTCGTCTGGTTTGTGGATCCGGAACTGTGTCGGTATAGTCGAATGTGTTGACGCTTTACGTCTGACGTGACTACCAAAAAGTGTTGGCGTCCTTTGACGTGAGTGTATAACGTTGTTGGTGTAGAAGAATGTCTTCGGTAGTTTTACGTTGTCTATGTAACGTTGTCTGTGCAGAATGTGTTGCCGTCCGTCTGGCGTCACTGGAGAGGGATAGTTCCTGTGTTGTAGGTCATTTGACATCTTTGGATCGTCGTCGGTGTAGTCGAGTATGTAGTCGACGCGGTAGGTGCTGCTTGCACAATGCAGCCAGTGTTATGTGTATATATACAACACGGAGGTTGTTTGTTATCTCAGACACGGAATGGAGTTCATGGCTGTTTGATAAGTGGAAATGTTTTAGATGTGCTGTTATTTACACATTCGAGGCTAAAACATGAAGCACAGCTGATGATAACTAGTTCGTAACACCTGGCACCTCCTCCCTTGCCGATCCGAATCCCCCGACACTGCCCCCATCCGGCATCCCCATCACCTCCTTGACCGAGTTGATCCCAAATGTACTTCCCGAATCCCCCATCCCCGAACCCGCCACCCCTTTCCTCCCTTGACCAATCTGATATAAATTCTCGCTAAACTGTAGATTCATTGGCGTCCTTAGTTGATATTCTAGTAAATGGAAATTATCAGGTTGAATAAACAAAATTCACCACTGAGTTGAAATAAGGTTGATTTCAGTAACTAACACATTTATCGAAGGACGTTAATATATATCTTGTATCAAGGTTCCCATAGATACCTATACACTATCACGTATGTATACAGAGTTCTGGCGAGATATGAATTCTGGCACCAGATGCACGTCATTTGCATGCCACTCGGGCCTGGGGTCGCGGCCTGGGTGGAGAGTGGTTCTTGGCAGTAAGATGGATGGAATTGGGATGGTAGTTAAGGCAGGTTATTGAACTAATTGTGCTGCAAGTTGTCTATGTACCTGTCACAAACACGAGTGGTTCCACACGTTCTTGTTTATTACGACAGAGAATTTGTTTTCTTCGCGCTTCTTCAGACAATCTATCGATTTCTGTTTCTAAATTGAGCAAATCTGGTCGTCTTGTTTTTCTCGGCTTAGGATAGTATTTGTGAGTGGGTGTTGTATACACTTGCCCACGTCTCTATGGCAATTCTAACTAGTTTATAACCTCAAAAGTATACAGTCTTAGACAATAACAACATGCAGTTCCCATTATTAGAATAAATTGTAACTTATTAGTGACGTAAATGATAAAACTGTCCATATAAAACACTGACGTCCCCTCATCTAGACATCTATCACGACGAGCGTTGGACGACGGCTTTGTTTTGGTGTAGTTATTGTTTTACGCCGCACTCAGCAATATTCCAGCTATATGGCGGCGGTCTGTAAATAATCGAGTCTGGACCAGAACATCCAGTGATCAACAGCATGACCATCGATCTACACATTTGCATACAATGACATGTGTCAACCAAGTCAGCGAGCCTGACCATCCGATCCCGTCAGTCGCCTCTTACGAGAAGCATGGATTACTGAAGATCTATCTAACCCAGATCTTCACAGGTAGACATCTATTATGAAGGAAACAATGTTGTACGTGAACAGACTGAACATTCTGTGAGCGTTGGGGTAAGGCTTTGTGCCAAGGTGTATGCTTGATACTGATAATAATATACTATTGAGGGAGGGAGCTGGACTTAAAGCCGCTTCTAACAGTAAGTACAAAAGGACTACAAAGGAGTGTAAGTTTTATGTACGAGGAAACACAAAGTAATGCAGATCCAAGGAGATCTCTTCCACTTTGGTATACAAGTACGTGGGAGTGAGCATGGCTGACTGCCACTCACTTTGGACAATTTATTCAGAACAAGATCTGAAACAGTTCATGATCTAATATTGTCAATATGTCTAGAACGAGCAGGGGCGGCGGGGTAGCCTAGTGGTTAAAGCGTTCGCTTGTCACGCCGAAGAACTGGGTTCAATTCCTCACATGGGTACAATGTGTGAAGCCCATTTCAGCTGTCCCCCGCCGTGATATTGCTGGAATATTGCTAAAAGTGGTGTAAATGTAAACTCACTAACTCACTAGAACGAGCAAGCAATCATAGAACAGGAGTCATTGAAAAAACACCGCATCCACAGCTCGCGGAACATTAAAATACCAGTTTCCTGCTGAAGTCAAATACTGCCACCACCCGCCCAACTATGATCAGTGCTGGAACTGAACGATAAGTTAACTAGTTCTTCTATCAGTTGCATGTGATGGCTAATCCACTTATTAATAGATTCAGACGAAGGTAATTATAAGCTCATATCCTCCATGCAACATACCGACACAGTATATCTGATTATATACGCCTCATATATCCCGTCATCCAGCGCTTCGTGTTACAGTCAGTCTCCATCTCACGGTGCTCGGGTGTGTACCCATCAGCCCTGTAGAGTCGATGACGTCAGAGCAGGATCAGGGCCCTGGGGCTCTTTTCACGAAGCAGCCTGTACTAAGGTTAACCTTAACTCCCATTCTTTGACATTGCACTAAGGTTACCTTAGTGACTTACGATCACCTTAGTGCTTTGTGAAAGGAGGTCCAGTTCCATGAAGCGATCTTAGCTCTAAGGTGATCGTAACGGCCATACTTTACTATAAGCTTACGGATGTTGTTACACTAAGATCGCTTTATGCAGCGGGGCCCAGGACTAATTTTTAAAATATCATATTACCTTACTAATTGAAACAGTTCACCGATCCTTATATCAATAAGCGTACACGTGCTTCCTGCTAGAGGTTGGGAGTAATTACGTCCAGCGTGACAACTCACGGCTCGATGCCGGTCCCGCCTTTCTGTCATCTTGTTAATTCTTCCAGTAATTTATAACCATCTAATTTCGTTTCTCTGAGATCGTTTTTCGAGTACTGATAAACACATCAGTCAGTAATGTTAACAAGAGGGAGTGTGTAATGTTTAATTGCCCTCTGCAGATGTCTGGCGACCTATGACTGTTATATGTCTCCACATAAATACACTAAACTGTGATAGGATGTATCGCCCTGTGCAACACTAGTTCGTTCTGCTTTTATACACAGCTAATTTGAGGACAAGCTTCCTCCAGTTTTTCAGAGGGCCCTTTCAGTGCGCCTCATAAAACTGATAAAAAAGCTGTTTGTTCTTTCATCTTATTGGACACACCACATGTTCCAGTTTCTACTAATAGAAGTCTTCTGAACTGACGATGGCTTTATTCGGGTCGTTCATGTACGTTTCTGAATCTCCCACTGTTCGTTGAATTAATATTCCAAATAACCGGATACACTGTCGGTAGGGACGTCTTGGCATCTTACACTGCTAGTTGAACAGTGAATGAGGTTAGTTTTACGCCGTTTTAAGCAATTTACGGCAATATCAAGGCGGGGACACCAGAAATGGGCGTCACTAATTGTACCCATGTGGGGAATCGAACCCGGGTCTTTGGCATGACGAGCGAACGCTTTTACCACTAGAGTACCCCGCCGCCCCGTCAGTTGAACAAATAGCCCAACTCACCGTCAACACCTACACGTGTTCATCTCGTAAAGCCAGACAGGTGAATTGACAGATGTTTAATACATTGTTAACACTGATTGTTAGATTGATCTCCCAAGACAGGGAGTTTTATAAGAAACAACGTAGAAGAGCAATGTTGGAGAGCAAATCCAGATTTCTGGTCGTGTGCAATCAGTGCGTAGGTGATGTCAGCCATTGGGTTGGAGTTAATCTTCTCTATGGTTGTTCAGTTCAGTAAAACCACCTGTCTGCTCCCATAACCCCCTCATCTGACTTCCGAGCACAACTGAGATAAAATATGCGATAATGCTATGTACGTTGGTATAAATGTTAAGGTTTGTCATAGGATAGTGTACATGGCGTTATGCTTCGCTGATCAGAGTGACGCATGTAGCACTGATGGCTGATCAGTTTGACGTTAAGTATGTGTGGTCAATGTGGTCAGTGTGGCCGATCAACGCGACATTAAGCCTGTGTGGTTGATCTTTGCGAAGTCGAGCCAGTGACGTTAAGCCTACATTACTGATCAGTGACGTTAAGCCTACGTTACTGATCAGAATGACGTTAAGCCTACGTTACTGATCAGAGTGACGTTAAGCCTACATTAATGATCAGAATAACGTTAAGCCAACATTACTGATCAGAATGACGTTAAGCCTACCTTACTGATCAGAATGGCGTTAAGCCTACATTACTGATCAGAGTGGCGTTAAGCCAACATTACTGATCAGAGTGACGTTAAGCCTACATTACTGATCAGAATGACGTTAAGCCTACATTACTGATCAGAGTGACGTTAAGCCAACATTACTGATCAGAGTGACGTTAAGCCTACATTACTGATCAGAATGACGTTAAGCCAACATTACTGATCAGAGTGACGTTAAGCCAACATTACTGATCAGAGTGACGTTAAGCCAACATTACTGATCAGAGTGACGTTAAGCCAACATTACTGATCAGAATGACGTTAAGCCAACATTACTGATCAGAGTGACGTTAAGCCTACATTACTGATCAGAGTGACGTTAAGCCTACATTACTGATCAGAGTGACGTTAAGCCTACATTACTGATCAGAATGACGTTACATTATCAGAGTGACGATCAGATCATGACGTTAAAGCATTACTGATCAGAGTGACGTTTACATTACTGATCAGAGTGACGTTAAGCCTACATTACTGATCAGGTGACGTTAAGCCTACATTACTGATCAGAGTGACGTTAAGCCTACATTACCGATCAGAGTGACGTTAAGCCAACATTACTGATTAGAATGACGTTAAGCCAACATTACTGATCAGAGTGACGTTAAGCCTACATTACTGATCAGAGTGACGTTAAGCCTACGTTACTGATCAGAGTGACGTTAAGCCAACATTACCGATCAGAGTGACGTTAAGCCAACATTACCGATCAGAGTGACGTTAAGCCTACATTACTGATCAGAGTGACGTTAAGCCTACATTAATGATCAGAATGACGTTAAGCCTACATTACCCATCAGAGTGATTTTAAGCCAACATTACTGATTAGAATGACGTTAAGCCTACATTACTGATCAGAGTGACGTTAAGCCTACGTTACTGGTCAGAGTGACGTTAAGCCTACGTTACTGATCAGAGTGACGTTAAGCTTACATTGCTGATCAGAGTGACGTTAAGCTCACATTACTGATTATAGTAACCTTAAGCCTGTATGGCTGATCAGAGTGACGCTAAGAATGTATGACTGAGCAGTGATGTTAAAATGTAAGACTGATCAGTGACGTTAACAATGTAAGACCGATGAGCGACGTTAAGCCTGTATGGCTGACGGTGGTCGTACTGCTGGATTCCGATGAGTCTATATTATCACCAGATAAGCATCTAGCCAGTTCTTGGGAGGTCCCAACAGATGTCATCCTTGCAAGGACATATGCGTATAAGTATCCCCATTTCTCATCGTCGATCTACTGAAATCACAGTTTACATTTTTTTCAACACGCCTTACCAGGTGGCTTCTGTCGACGTGAAAACGTCCCCGCTTCCAAGATATCGCTGAAAAGGTCTAAGCACCTTCTTACCTCTCAGCAATGCTGTGATTGCATTCAAACGTTGCAAAACGTCTACCCTCTCAACAACCCATGTTGTCTTTACATTGTATAGCAATCTGTTTGTTGTCCTACGCGGTCCTAAACAGCCATATATTATGATTGGATCTAAGTAATCACAGCTAGGCTCAAGACAATTTGCCAAACATGAACGCAGTTGTCTTTGAAATTTACTGAGAACGTTCATTTGAACTATTTGACGTCCCCATAGACAACATCTATCTGACATTTTGAGATATGACATTTAAACAAGAAATAAAAATCCTAATGGGCACCAACTGTATTCCACTCCACCCCCTGCCCCACCCGCCTTGCTATTGTGCTCCTCTTTAGCATGAACTAGAATTCCCTCTTGGACTGACAAAATCAAAACACGGGAATTCGTCCCAGAGGTTGAACGTGTTTCAGGCATATTGATGATCTGATATCGTTCAGTTGTGGTCAAAAAGCTAATAACTTTACATAAATTACTCACCTGAACTGCACATCACAATAAGAATCACCCTTAGTTAACAGTGATAAGCAAATACGGGCATTTGAGTCATAATATACAATGGTCTTTGTTTTTAGCAAAGATGTTTTGAAATTCACATTATCTTAGTATGTACCGCCATATGGCTGGAATATTGCTGAATGCGGCGTAAACCTAAACTCACTCACACTCTTAATATGTAATTTCACTGACGTTTTGGGTTGGTTATATATGTGGCGTTATGTGACAGAACAAGCGGAATGGTTATCTGAGTTGAGTGATATGAAACATAGCTTACTGGTTGTGTGTGTAGCTTTATGAGTGAAAGAGGGCACCTGTTGGTAGTCCCTATGTCGATATATATGACGTTCGTAGCAGGGTGTCAGGCAAATCAGGTATTTGCATCGAGCAATATATTTCTAAATAAATCAATTAAAACATGAAAACAGGTTATTTGAAATTTGTGACATGTCTAGAGTTAATGCTGAGACAGATGCCGATTCCTAAAGGCATTAAAGGAATGTGTCACTGTTTTATACAAACATCGTTCTTCTAAAACAGTCAAGTTGATCAAAGGGCCAAAGCCCAAGAGCACATGACAACGACTTGTATACACGTACAGACATTAACGCAGAGTCACCGCCGTGTTGAATGGATAGTCCCAAGGGCGGGGACATCAGCTTATATGTGTTTTAGGTTTTTTGCTTAACGCCACACGCAGCAATCTTCCAGCTATAAGACGGCAGTCTGTAGGTAATCGAGCCTGGATCAGAGTGACGTTGTAAGCATCGATCAACTGGGATACGATGATATGCATCAACCAAGAGTGCGGGCCTAACCACCTGGTACGCCTCCTACAAGGGCGGTGGGGTAGCCTAGTGGTTAAAGCGTTCGCTCGTCACGCCGAAGACCTGCGTTCGATTCCCCACATGGGTACAATGCGTGAAGCCCATTTCTGGTGTCCCCCCGCCGTGATGTTGCTGCTAAAAGCGGCGTAAAACCTAATTCACTCATTCCCTCTTACGACAAAATGTTTTGATGGAGAACAATTCTAAGTATATATTCACGGGTAGTATGATCATCAGTCAGAGCGGTCACAGGTAACAAAGGCATTAACCCAATGACTATCCAACTGAATGGCCTGCAGATCAAAGTTGGTACACTCTACATCATGTTTACCATCATCTGTCGATACACAGATGTAACCGTTTTGTAACTTGCAAAATCAGCAGTCAATAAACCTTTGAACTGGTATCTTAATTGCACTGTTCATAAATAGTAGTTAGACATTGTCATGAAATACAACTTTCACGACCGGTCGCATTCTAAAGCCAGTTATTCGGTTCGAATTATGTTTGACCCGTGAAGGTCCGGGTTGGAATATTGATCTTCAGAAACCCATGCTTGTCGTAAGAGGCGACTAACGGGATCGGGTGGTCAGACTCGCTGACTTGGTTGACACATGTCATCGGTTTCCAATTGCGCAGATCGATGCTCATGCTGTTGATCAGTGGATTGTCTGGTCCAGACTCGATTATTTACACACCGCCACCATATAGCTGGACTATTGCTGAGTGTGGCGTAAAACTAAACTCACTCACTCACTCGAATTATGTTTGTCTGAAATGAGACACATACCCATTCTTGAACACAACCTTTACAGACTTAGAACGTTGTTTTCTCTGAGTTGTGGGATTTTATGGCGCTTCCGTAGATTCCGCACTGTCACACTGACTGACTGACTGAGTTTGGTTTTACGCCGCTTTTAGCAATATTTCAGCAACATCACGGCGGGGACACCAGAAATGGGCTTCACACATTGTACCCATGTGGGGCTTCGAACCGGGGTCTTCGGCGTGACAAGCCAACGCTTTAACCACTTAACCACGCTACCCCACCGCCCTCCGCACTGTCACAGGACACCTGTCCCGTAACTTTGATGTCGTTTTCCTACCGCAATGTGGCCATAATGTATCAATAAGGCAACTGTATATATCTGCACAAATGTATCACTACCTACAAAATGATGTTGTTTTAAGGAAACGTCTCCTGAAGTTTCAGGCAAACATGGGAAAAACAGACTAACTGAAACCCGAATAACATGCTTGTAGAAGCAAAACGATTTTGACAGACATTTAGTGAATTTAAATTTTGCAATTATTTGAATTCACATCAAATATTTTAAATTTGTGAAGTGATATGAGGCACATATTCAGGATCTATGTGTATCTCTTTAACGTTACCTTTATTTTGGACTCTGACAGTATGTATGTCAACATGTATATAAATGCACGTTCGTGGTTTGTAGGTGTCTGTGACCCTTGGGACTCAGTCCAGTGCCAGGCTAGGAACGGCTGGCTCAAGTGTGACCACAATGGACTCCACTGTCCCGTCATCAAGAAACCATGTGAGTTTTACTGACCCTGCATGACTCAGACGAGTGTTCTAGTTCCATGGGAAACCTCCCCAGTTTACCAATATATACCATTGTGGACTCCACTGTCCCGTCATCAAGAAACAATGTGAGTTTTACTGACCCTGCATGACTCAGACGAGTGTTCTAGTTCCATGGGAAACCTCCCCAGTTTACCAATATATACACTCAACGTCATTATTTGGTGCTTAGCGCAGCACAATATTCCAGCTATATGGCTGCTGTCTGTCAATAATAGAGTCTGCACCAGACAATCAAGTGATCAGCAGCATGACACTGATCTACGCAACTGGGATACGATGACATGTGTCAACCAAGTCAGCGAGCCTGACCACCCGATCAGATTAATCGCCTTGGTTAACAAACATAGATTATTAAAGTAGTGTCATAACTGAAGGGTAGCCTATGCTGGTTGGATGTCGAAACGTGCATGATTGGAGGTTATGGAAAATTCTACCCTAAACACACCCCTGAACGCAACTATTGGGAATATACATGCATGTTTAACACATGAAAAGTAACAGTATTCATTTCAGGTCCAACTGAACTGCATTCTTGGAATTTGAAAATGTGCATAATTTTATCTCTTATTATCTGCTTGATCTCTCAATAATGACACTGACTATATAGAAATTGCTGTATATCAATCAACTTAACTATTTGTTTTGAATCAGCGGACGGGATATACATCTGTTTGATTTATTAACGATACAGTTTATGGTATCCCGTTCATTGTGAGGGCGTATATTTTGAAAACAGTTATTACTGTAACACGTGGTGCAGTATTGTTTTCCGAAAACATTAAGAAATCAATGAAACTGCGCAATCTATCGATGTTGATCAACGCGACCACAGTCTTTTTTTCACTGTTTCTCTCTTCCAGCTACACGAAGTCTGTCCTTCACCTTCCCAGAGACACGGGTTCCGGCAAGGGAGACAACCTATTACTGCCAACTGTTTGACCTTCCGGTAGATGATGACTATCATCTCGTGGCCACTGAGCCTATATTGGTCAACACGGATACTGTCCATCACATACTTTTGTTTGGCTGTGACCCGTCAGGTGGGTTCATCATGTTTTAGAAAAACCCATTTTAAACAATATACTCGTCACTAAGCACATTACAGAAAGAACCCAACAAAGCGTTCGAAGCACTACGTCATTTGTAAGCCAGTGATACAGTATCGAGTTCCGATAGTTCGTAACGTTACGAACGTTTTGTGGGTCGTACCCTGGTGTCGAGTAGCCATAGCTGGTGCACAAGAAGCAGAACTTACAGAATATGCACGTAGCTCAGAATGCATGGCGCTGACCGGGTGCCCAACGGTCCCAGTGGCCGTTGAGTTTCATGGCTGACCCTGGTAGTCAAAATGGGGTTCTTACACTGTACTTCTTTAAGCATTTAGAACTTGCACTGGTGCAACCTGAAACTGCTAAATGCAACCTCTTATGTATATCAACTTGCACCCAGTGCATGTTAATATTGTGTGTACAAAGAACACAGACTTCACCTGGAAAACAAGAACTGGCTTGGAACAGTGACTCTGATTATTGTAGGACCAGTCACTGAAGGACTTAATGTTCATGAAAGTTAAGGAAGTAAGATAACTACAGATTTCTTTTGTTATAATACTGTTCTAAAACCGTCTTTACCAAAACTCAAGCATTATATCAGATTTTACATTAAGCGGGAGGTGCAACCTGTTTTTGTTTGGTGCAAAAAGGTGATTGTCTTAGGTTGCACTGGATGCAAGTAGGCTTCATTTCCTTAAATCGACCTCTGGGACGCTTGGACCACTTGGCTACCCCACTGCCCCTTAGCTAGTATATTAATTAGACTTTATGCCACAAAGCACCACGACTGTCGTACCGAATGGGCCAAAGTTAGTTCTCGTACTTGAGTACGATGTGTTTGGTGTCGCCTAATGTTTGATTGTGTTGCTGCAGATGATGATGTCCAAGCAACACCCGAGCCGTTCATGTGTGCCATGTTGGCGCACCGTAGTTGCCTGGACATCATCGGCACTTGGACAGTGGGTAGTCATGGAGACTGTCTCCACGACAATGTGGGTTTTAGCATTGGCAAGACAGGGTACAGGAAGGCTGCTCTACAGGTGAGAATGTCTTCTTTTTCCTTAATGTAATATGATAGGGAGAATACTGCTACTGGGGAACCTCTCAAACCTCCTGATGCACAGTACGCAAGATTGGTCATTCAAAAATATGTTGAGTCATATCACAGGCTGTGATCAATGTTTGTTTGACCGTTTAGTTCTAATGTATATAAGTTCTTATATTTATTTCGGTAACGTCATTGCTATTGTTAACTATCTCAGATACATTGGAACAATCCCTCCTTGCTGGCCAACACGACGGACGCTTCTGGACTCAAGATGTATTTCACACCATCACGACGCAGTTACGATGCGGGGATGTTGTTGGTTGGCCAAGAATATCTGGAGATAACCCCCCAGCCGGCCCCCTCAAAACAAGTCACTTTCTCACAGGAATGCCCAGGGCGATGCACCCGGGAGATGCTGACTGAGGCCATCTTCATTACTGCAACTGTCAACCACATGCACTATCGTGGTAGGTAGCAGGGCTGGGAGTCTTCATTCACCACAGACACTGTCAAACACATGCACTATCGTGGTAGGTAGCAGGGATGGGAGTCTTCATTCACCACAGACACTGTCAAACACATGCACTATCTATCGTGGTCTTCATTAGGTAGCACTATCGTGGGAGTCTTCATTCACCACAGACACTGTCAAACACATGTACTATCGTGGTAGGTAGCAGGGATGGGAGTCTTCATTCACCACAGACACTGTCAAACACATGTACTATCGTGGTAGGTAGCAGGGATGGGAGTCTTCATTCACCACAGACACTGTCAAACACATGCACTATCGTGGTAGGTAGCAGGGATGGGAGTCTTCATTCACCACAGACACTGTCAAACACATGCACTATCGTGGTAGGTAGCAGGGATGGGAGTCTTCATTCACCACAGACACTGTCAACCACATGCACTATCGTGGTAGGTAGCAGGGATGGGAGTCTTCATTCACCACAGACACTGTGAAACACATGCACTATCTTGGCAGATAGTAGGGTTGGGTGTCTTCATTCACCACAGACACTGTGAAACACATGCACTATCGTGGTAGGTAGCAGGGATGGCAGTGTTCATTTATCATACACACTGTCAAACACATACAGGATTGGGATAGGTGGTAGCAGGGATGGGAGTCTTCATTCATCACAGACACTTTCAACAACTTGCTCTCATTAACCACTGGTGCTGTGAGACATGCACATGTTTTACATGTTGTATTCCTCATTCAACGCTGCCAGTATAACACACACATTACCGGGGTAGGTGACAGTGTTTACATGTTATATTCCTCATTCAACGCTGCCAGTATAATACACACATTACCGGGGTAGGTGACAGTGTTTACATGTTGTATTCCTCATTCAACGCTGCCAGTATAATACACACATTACCGGGGTAGGTGACAGTGTTTACATGTTGTATTCCTCATTCAACGCTGCCAGTATAACACACTACATTACCGGGGTAGGTGACAGTGTTTACATGTTGTATTCCTCATTCAACGCTGCCGGTATAATACACACATTACCGGGGTAGGTGACAGTGTTTACATGTTATATTCCTCATTCAACGCTGCCAGTATAATACACACATTACCGGGGTAGGTGACAGTGTTTACATGTTGTATTCCTCATTCAACGCTGCCGGTATAACACACACATTACCGGGGTAGGTGATAGTGTTTACATGTTATATTCCTCATTCAACGCTGCCAGTATAACATGCACATTACCGGGGTAGGTGACAGTGTTTACATGTTGTATTCCTCATTCAACGCTGCCAGTATATCACACACATTACCGGGGTAGGTGACAGTGTTTACATGTTATATTCCTCATTCAACGCTGCCAGTATAACACACACATTACCGGGGTAGGTGACAGTGTTTACATGTTGTATTCCTCATTCAACGCTGCCAGTATAACACACACATTACCGGGGTAGGTGACAGTGTTTACATGTTATATTCCTCATTCAACGCTGCCAGTATAACACAAACATTACCGGGGTAGGTGACAGTGTTTACATGTTATATTCCTCATTCAACGCTACCAGTATAACACAGACATTACCGGGGTAGATGACAGTGTTTACATGTTATATTCCTCATTCAACGCTGCCGGTATAACACACACATTACCGGGGTAGGTGACAGTGTTTACATGTTATATTCCTCATTCAATGCTGCCAGTATAACACAAACATTACCGGGGTAGGTGACAGTGTTTACATGTTATATTCCTCATTCAATGCTGCCGGTATAACACAAACATTACCGGGGTAGATGACAGTGTTTACATGTTATATTCCTCATTCAACGCTGCCAGTATAACACACATTACCGGGGTAGGTGACAGTGTTTACATGTTATATTCCTCATTCAACGCTGCCAGTATAACACACACATTACCGGGGTAGGTGACAGTGTTTACATGTTATATTCCTCATTCAACGCTGCCAGTATAACACACACATTACCGGGGTAGGTGACAGTGTTTACATGTTATATTCCTCATTCAACGCTGCCAGTATAACATACATTACCGGGGTAGGTGACAGTGTTTACATGTTATATTCCTCATTCAACGCTGCCGGTATAACACACACATTACCGGGGTAGGTGACAGTGTTTACATATTGTATTCCTCATTCAACACGGGCGCTATCACACATAGAGACATATCGAATGTGACATATTAATAGTATCAATATAATTCAATTTGATGTAGATATATTACGTACACAAATACGTGGACTACAATGCTATGTGTTACGTGACAATGGTGATAACTGTCCACACTCTTGTATAATCTTTACAAAGTGCATATTGCACCGCCCAGACTTGGCCACAGAGCAGAGTATGGAATTCCGTGAAGCATCCCAACTATCACTATTATGTAAAGATGACATTTGTCTTGCAGGTGTGAGTCAAAGGATAGAACTCTACCGGAACGGCAGCAAGGTGCGCGACATCACATACGACAGATTCTATCACTACGACAATCCAGTGATCTACTCGTGAGTTTTATGCAAATTTATATCGATATTGAAAGTGTTAAGAGCGATATGAAACTAGTCAGGACGGAACTCGATGTGTCGTAATGTTACACTGCCGGTCAAACAAGCGTCGCGTTTTGAATAAAAATGTCGGCGAATGAATTTCAACACAATTTGTACACTCCTCAAATTCAAAATATTAAATATTTAACAACATTGTATACAACAAAGAAGAAGTTGACATCCATAATATTTTGACTTATACGCAGTAACATAACTACTCACAAAATCATTAAATCGACTCCTGTGTACATACCTTACATTTCTGATCTGTTTCTGTTAATGGGGTATCTACGGAGACATCTGTCAGTATAGTTGTGAAACTCTGATGAACCTTAAACCCTGGAAGATCTAGATATATGCACACCTATATATATCAAAACAAGTTTTGAACCTAATCACGAGTGTCCAGTATATGGCAATAGTACCGTCAAGCAATGGCGTGTTGATGTCATGTTATCAAGGTGTGTGAAGTGATGTATTCCTGTGGTTTGAGATTGTTTACCTGTCTAAACGTGCAGTAGAATAGCACCCATACCCTGGGATACCAGTCACTATCCTCCAGTCAGAGTGAGATGAGGTTGTTCGAGGTTTGTCCATAGTTAAGTGAAGGTCTTCAATGTCTGTGTTTTTTTAACACCATACTCAGCAATATTCCACCTGTATGAATGTAGGTTCTAAATAATGGTGGCTGGATCAGACAATTATGACTGACATCATAAACGTCGATGTATGTCACAGGTTCAACCAAATGAGCTCGCTTGTCCACCCAGTCCCGCTAGTCGCCTTTAAGCCAATAACTCATTTTCTTTGAAAAAAACAACCTCATGACTGTATGCGATATTCTTTGACCTCAAAGAGATACCTAGCCTTTAATGACCATATTTGCATTGAGATGACGTGGAAGAATGACTTCCTTGTGCTATACATGAACATTCTTTTCCCCGTCAGGTTTAACCCCCCAGTCGAAGTGCGCCCTGGCGACGAGATACGAACAACCTGCGTTTACGAAACACCTACGTCTGGCAACTCCATGTGTTTTGGCGATGGAACACAGGACGAAATGTGCTACGGATTCATGACGTACTACCCAAAACAGAACCTTCCCATACCATGGTGCACCGCTAGGAAGTCGGTCCAGAAGTGTGACCGATACCTCCCGAAGTTCCGGAACAACTCCATCGACGGCTGCTTTTGGTTAGCCTTCCTCCAACCAACCAATCAGGATACGATAAATATATTCAAATCTGTGCTCGGTCATTGTTTTGACGCCAAAACAGAAGAAAACAGCTGCACGGATAGTTGTTTAGCTGCCATTAAATCAGCTCGGAAACACCCCTGTCTGTCGGGAGATATCGGAAGTTACATAATATCAAAGTTTCGCCATACATCGATAGGGTTTCAGTTCCTGAATGCATTATTTACCTGTGACTGTGAGGACAGATTTGACAATGGCTACTGCGATAAGCGGTACAGAGGAGGAACGCTGGGTGAAGGTGCCCAAAAGATGTGCGCTGCAAGATACACATCGATCAAGACGGTATCGCCATACAATGGGTCTCCACCTACGACTTTGACATCATTGACAATTCTTACTTTGGTTTCTGTTTCAATAATATCGGTGTTGTTTGAAACACCTTCTTGATCGTCAAGACAACGGCATCACAATGAATCAATTTGCTCACAACTCATGACGTCCATCGAGTGACCACCACCTGGCTGTGCTGTGTGAGAGATCACAGAGGCACGACCAGATGGTCTGGTGAATGACATGTCCAAGATATGTCCAACATGATACCAAAACACTACTATGCAACATACCATGCAAGGCCGTTGTTATCCTATGCCGTATACATTTTTTGCAACGAAATAATGTTTTCTTTAAAATATAATGTGATGTACATGTCTACTTCCTGGTCATAGCTATACGAGGGCAAATCGTACACACATAACACATTCCTAATTCACATAAATAAATGTCACTTGCAAATAACTTCCTGCTTCGTGACTAACCTATAACACGTCATTCTAGAAGCACCTGCTATCATTTAACTTTGGCATGCTAAAAAAGAAAAGGATGTGTTAGAATTGACTTGCGTCATGCAAACATCGAAAATAACGACATCCTTGTTCAAAGATGAAATCATCGTGAATAACGGTGTGCATCCAGTGTCAGGACTACTCAATGCAACGTCCCTATCCGTCATTCGTAAAACGAGCCGTGCAGTTTCCTAAAGAGTGGCTCAAAAGGAATAATAGGTAATAATGAAATCCATGCAGTCGCATATGTCTCGTATTCATTTTACGAAATTGGTGAGAAACATTATGTACATGCACTCCCTCTTGCATAAAAGGAATTCTGACAAAAGAATGTATTTGTCACCGCTTGCCCTGTTCCATAACATGACAGAAGACTCGTGCCCATTGTCGCTAAAAGTTATGAGGCCAGTCAGAATGTACGTACGACTTCAAACACTTCGGTCATAGTATACTTCAAGAAGACATTTTGTGTTTTACTTAGGTCCTATATTGAAAAATGTTGAGATAGACTTAATTTGGTTTAATCTCACTTTATATCAGTGGATCAAAAGGAATGGCTCGTTGGAAAATATACGTTGGAGAAACTCCTACGAGATGACGACTCTTTTAACTGTGCCCATTTGTGCTAAGGCGGTACCCAGTTGCAGAAATGTATATAAAAATTGCCTCGCGAAGGACATGAGTCCCTGTTCGGCCTGTTGGTCATGAAGGACAATAAGTATGACACACACGTTTGTATGTTCTGTTTTTTGTTACTTTGAAATATGCTGCTGTTGGCCGGGGCACATATAGGGTTGTGGTGCTGCTCCCTCAGCTAAGAAGAGTGTCATTGACATGTCCCGAGCGTTCTCGAAGACAAGCTGGAATAATATAGCCCAGACTTGGTGTTAGTATTCACCTTGTGCTTGCTGTTAGGGTCCATTGCTTTGAGTTCCCTTGGGAATATTCGATGTGCCTTTTTGTTTTTGTAATATTTATGGGTTTATTATATGTCTGTGTGAATCAACAATTGGCTATTTGGTGTCCAGTTTGACAAGATCACATCTGTGATCAATATTTCAGTTTTGACAAAATCACCACTGTCTGTGACAATTATATCACCACTGTCACATTGTCAGTGATAACGAAATGTTCTATAAATCGCTATTGTATATGAGTCAGCAACGACTCATCATTTAAAGGAAGGGCTGTAACTATTTGTAAAATATCTAAATAGAAAAATAGATAGAAAAATATCTAAATGAAATTGCTATTCGCTGAAAATGTAAAAATAACGTTTTTCGGCTAAATTTAGTCAACGGTTAAAATTGTGTGTTTGGAAGTAGTGAAAAACGTTCTGTCTCTAAACACACCCCTTGTCTACCCCGATATTAATGAATTACTGATGTCCAATGTTCCTAGCAATATCGGCCACCATCATAACGCTAGTATAGTAAAGAGTGGTGAGTTAGCATTGTAGACTTGCCTTATGCCTGCTTGCCACACCGAAGATCTGGGTTCGCATCCAAACGAGTACAAAGTGTGAAACCCATTCCTATGTCATATGGTTATTTGGTGTTAAAATCGCTGTAGATCAACATTAGCGGTCACTCGCCTTTCCGTTCACCATCACAAGCCGGAAGTGGAGGTGGTCTTGACTGGTTTTGTCGGCTGGTTGCGTCTTTGTCAGTGATCAATGTACATACCTTCACGCATCCCACGTTTTCGTGATGAACAATATACCTCCGTTTCGACGTCAAGTGCATGGAAGGTGTAGTATAGACTAGATGAGTGTTGGCGTTGCTCCCACTTACACCATCACATGTTCTAATGTATGAAGTATTTGTAAAAATGAACTATTTCAGATAAATATTATACTTTTCCAAATGTTGTTTGTTATACACTATCATTAACTGATTTGATAAACTACAGCTGGGCTTCACAGAAAGAAGACCCGGGTTCGTAACCCCACACCGGTACAATGTGTGAAGCCCAGTCCTGATGTAATCCATCTGTGTTATTGCTGGAAAATTGCTAAAAGCGGCGTAAAGCTACACTCACCCACAGACAGATAGTATGCATACAACGCCTTTTGTCATGTTCTTCATCATGAGTGTGTGAGTGAGTTTGGTTTTACGGCGCTTTTAGCAATGTTCCAACAATATCACGGAGAGGGACACCAGAAATGGGCTTCACACAATGAATCCATGTGGGGAATCGAACCCGTGTCGTCGGCGTGACGAGCGAACGCTTTAACCACTTGACTACCCCATTCTTGATTAGGCTTGATTAGTTGATCGTAGGGATGTCATAACCTTGATCTCTGTTGAGATCCCTCTAAGGGTTTTCTTATCTTGCCTAATCAAGAATAACCCACCCTTTGTCTATCTGGCTTCAATCATGTCTGTATCACAACAAGCCTCATTCTGTCAACACCCTGTATATCAACCTCTTCAATTGTATAACTCAAGTACCGTATATACTTCTCCTTGTGCATGTGTTGTGTATCATTTGCTTGATAACAGTGTTAGGATCTACACCATCTACGCATCCACTGCAATAAAGACGTTGTCTATCCATTAACAAAACAACAACAAAAGGTACAAGAACAGAACAAACAGAATGTTGTTGTTGACTATACTATAAGCATACAGTTGTGCTTTATTATTTTTATTTTCTGAAAATCTCTTTAACGTGTCAACACAGACAAGGTAGATATTGTTTAAACCGTTAATTGAGTGTTTTCTACGGTTTCGAACTATTGAACTATTCTTCAGACCGAGTTGAAATGTAATCCTTATCACAAACATTTTCGTGTAACCTATTGCTGTATATTTGTTTACACAGATGTTGACTTCCATCACAGTTAGACAATCTCGTTAACGTTCACAAATATACAAGCTGGCCGTTTATAATTTCATCTGCAGAGGCCAAAGAAGTCTGACTACCAGCCCCTAGACAATATGTTTAATATGTTGTTCAACTCAAGTCCAGAATGATTTGGCAAGATTCACTCAGCCCTGAAATTAAGAAAATTGTTGTGGATTTCTTCTGTAATTCTCTATTTTGACCATGAATTTGTGTCAGATGAATCCGTGATTTCTATTCGATGGTAGTGACTTCTGGTCACATTATGATAGACTTCTTTCTTGACGGGAATTCATTGAAAAGTTACTCGTGCTTCAATCGAAAGCAGACCTGTACTCGTGTCCAAAACCTTTATGCCGACGTGTTAGTTTCGGGATTGTATGGTAAACATGGACGTATGAAAACAAACTTGGAATAGATATGAACATAAACCCCTTCATCCGTTGCTATTTTAGATTCGAGTCGTCGATTCAAGATGGCTTGTGCAATCCGTGATACCCTGTCTGTGTACACGATTATGACCCCAATTACGTCACCAACTCCCCCCAACCCCATCCCGTGTTAAATAATATTCTGAGATTTTAATGTTCAGTTGGCAAGGTAAAATTATGAGGATTCGCAATCTTAATTTCACTTTATTTGATTTACTTGTGTGTTTAAAGTGAAATTCATAGGTGTGTTTTCACTGCAAATGGCACTGAAGATGGATGTTCTTTCCCGAATACCATAAATGATATGTGCGTCTACGCTCTGTGTGTGACTGTGTATTTCCACGCATGTAGTTGTCTGTCGTATATTAAACGGATTACAAAAACATCCTCGGTATCCTCCCCTGTATCCCGCCATTCATTGCAGCCTTTATGTCTGTATTTTAGGTAGTGGGCTTCTACACTAAATATATTGTCTTGCCTTGTCTTGTCTTAATAGTCATCTATTTTACCAAGCCGGTACACGATTTTAATTTTCAAATGTCTGAATGCAAATATAGAAAAATACTTGCAAAAGAGGTATCGTGGACGCAATGTTGCTCACCGCAAAACCAAACAACATGCAATATGTCAAACATCGTTCCCTGCATTCATGGACCGCCTCCGTGGTGTAGTGGTTAGAGCGTCCGCCCGGAGAGCGGAAGGTCGCGGGTTCGATCCACGACCGCATCATACCAAAAGACGTTAAAATATGGTACTTGTTGGTCCCTGCCTGGCGCTCGGCATTATTGGGTACAACAAGGACTGGTCTGCTCGCAGTCAGTATAATGTGTCTGAGTAGGGTATTCATGCTTAACTGCGGCATGGTATCTCAGTGGGCTAGCACTATAAAACCAGCTTAAGTACTGGGCTAGTACAAGCAGCCACACATACACACGCATGTACGTCGTCATATGAGCGAAATATTCTCAAGTAAGATGTTGAACCCAATTTCACCTCACCTCATTTGCCTTTGGAATGTTGTAATTATCTTCCTCGGGTGATCCGTTTCTCAAGCCTTAAAACCCATGTTTTCAGACAAGCTTTTCTTCCCTGAATCTGCGCTTTGAGCATGCATTGAGCATGGAACTAGCGTTATACAAATGGACTGTTATGTTATGTTAACGTGACAAAAAACACTCAAGTCTCAAGTACGTCCAAGCAGAAACACTTGATTTTAAGCTTGTTACATATACATAATCGATCACTCGTCCATCGTTTATCTCACTCAAGTGATACAACCTCGATGAACCCATTGTATATATAAATAAAAATATATATACTTTACAAAAGCTTTAGTGAGATGAAAGAAGATCCCATGACCTGTATCTTGGATACTCTGCATGTTTAAAACAACCAGCCTCATCGAATATTATTTATACAGAGTACTCTCCGTTTAGTGTAAGCCGATGTCTAACAGTTGCAGGACTGTTGAAGGAGCCTTGCATCACACACATTTTTATTAAAACCACGAGTACAGGCCAGTGTACGTTCGTTGGCTCCAAAAAGAAATCTTAACCCCTGACTATTCTGAAATACTGACGAAACCATCTTGACCGGTCATAATGGACAAGGGTCAGCAGACTGTTTTGTCTATTGGTATCCTGTTGTCTTGTGTTCTGGGGCGCATTTTCGGCTCTGCTTCTCCTCACTACAAGAGGAGCACAAGACGGATACCTCCATGGCTGATGCCACTGCATCACAGATTGCTGCAAGTGAGTATTCCATGCATGGTATGCATGTAGTGAAACAGATTTGCGTCCCTTGGGCGCGCCAGAATCCTATGATGGGGCTTGGATCCCGATTGCCCGTTCTTGTGTAGTTGTTAGTTACTATGGAGACCGCCATGTTGGATATAAAATATCGCCGACGAGATTTCGTGAGCCTGGCAATATAACACTTTCCAAACTACAACCTAACAGTTGGTTTGAAGTTTAACGCAACGCTCAGCAATATTCCAACAATACGACGGCGGTCTGTAAATAATCGAGTCTGAACAAGACAATCCAGTGATCAACAGCACGAGCATCGATGTACGCAGCTGGGAAACGATGACCTGTGTCAACAAAGTCAGCGAGCCTGACCACCCGATCCCGTAAGTGCTTCTTACGACAAGCATGGGTTGCCGAAGACGATCCGGGTTAGAAATTCACAATTCTAGCCCGGATGTTCACGGGTTTTCGTTCTTGGAGTTTTCACCGACGTGGTTAACGTTTAAAACCTCCATCGCCTGGGGTTTGCGTTCAACAAAGTTGTCATATTACTACAAGCAATCAATAGTCCACCTTTATGACGACGATAGTCGAGTTCAAGATCCATGCCATGTGAGCAATCAACAATCAGACCCATTAAAACCCTTGTATTGCCACTATAGACTGACGAGGATCAGTTTTACCTCCGGGTCTCTACGGGGGAATTGTAAGAGACGTGTTACATGGGTAACAAGTTGACAGGCCGTCAACTATGACAACTATAATCCTGAAGTGTTATGATAAGGAGTTACGACACATTTCCATCAAAGTCAGATATGAATACAGAAACAAGATCAAGCGACACCTTCCTGCCATTTTAAGTTGAGATGCCGAAAAAGTAACCTACATGTATACTGTTCAAGGCTACAAATCCATCTCATCATTCATTTGCCATTGTTATACACGTCCATAAAAATAGCTTGCTAAATATGGCTGGGTTTGACATTCTCTCATTGTAACTAACAGGACCAGTGCAGATCAATGTCAGTACCTGTAAATACTCGAATGTGGACCAGGTTCCTTGGCTGGTGAGAGCACCTGTTTACTGGGTACGGAGTGAGTGAGTGAGTGAGTAATACTATGATTTTACACCGCTTTTAGCAATAATCCAGCAATATCAACAGAAATGGGCTTCACACAGAACCAGGGTCTTCGGCGTGACGAACGAACGCTTTAACCACTAGACTACCCCACCGCCCCCTATGAGTACGACCCACACTCAACCTTGTTACACATAGTGACCTAAGGGGAGTGAGTATAGTTTCAGGCCACCTTTTAGCAATATTCCAGCAATATCAATACGAGGGACACCAGAAATACGCTTCACACATTGTGCCCATGTGGAGAATCGAGCCCAGGTCTTCGGCGTGACGGGCGAAAGCTTTAACCACAAGGCTACCCCACCGCTCCAGTGACCTATGGGCAAGTGACTTGTCCCTAAGGTGCCCTACAACCTTATTATACTTGGTTCGAGTCCCATAGGTCATGATTATGTTTTTAGGTTTTGTAAGCGCTGTACCCTTCCTAGTGGGTTTTACCGACATGGTAAATGCCATTGGCTGCTAAGTTCTAGGCCTGCATCACTTCGGGTGTTCTTCCCATATGAAGCAAACACGCTGGGATGTTTCTAATGGTGCGTAAAACAATACTCACTCAATGTAACATAGCATCTCTAGCGAAAGATTATTTTCCATGACAGAAAATAGGACTGACTGACTGACTGACTGAGTTTAGTTTTACGCCGCTTTTAGCAAAATTCCAGCAATATCACGGCGGGGGACACCAGAAATGGGCTTAACAC